TAGTAGCGAGTGAAAAATGCACTCCAGGAATATCTATTACAAATTGTATGAACAAATGCTTTAAATTTAGCAGTGGTTATAACATATTTACTTTAAATATGGAATTAATATTATAATCTAATTATTAATGGTTTAATATTTTTGATATTAGAATTAGGTTAAGAGTAATAAGTCTAGTTAATTGAAAATAATGATACTGAATTAAAAATTGATTTTCATAACAAATCTGTAACATTCATAGGCATCTCATCAATTTAGGTTGAATAATATTATTCAATATCTCTTAGGATTCTGACATCTTCTTTCTTAAAAAAATAAATTGCAACACCTTTTCTTCCAAATCTACCTGATCTTCTTATACTGTGAATGTACACTTCTCTGGAAGAAGGTAAATCATAATTGATAGCCAAAGAAACTTATTAAACATCAAGACCTATGTTAATGAAAATGCAAAATACCTCTTACATCAGTAGCAATCAAAACTTTTTAATTTCCTTAACTGAACTCAGCAATTATTTTTATCTCTTTCCTTTTAACTCATATCTCCATGCATTTAGACTTCAGTGAATTCATTTTCTCTCATTTTAATTGCCCAACCAATCTCATTTTATTAGTTTAACAAAAGATAGCAGCTTAGGTGATTGTTAGAGTACCCTATAAATCGCACAAAGATCGAATTTCCATTCCTCTTTATCAAATAAAAATTATTTAATTCCTTCTAATGTCAATTCATCTCTTTTTGACTAAAACTTTAAGAGAATCATTCATGAATTTATCTGTTATATCCAATATTTCTTGAAGTAAAGTAGCTGAAACCACAAAATTTTAAGTTTTAGGGGGTAAAATAGTAATGTTAATTCATAAGACAAGAAATATCTATAGATATCATAAACTTATGTTTTGAATCCTTTAGTCAACATTTCATCTGCTTCATTCCCAAATAGAGAATTAGTAAAAGTTATCCTTTTTCTCAGTTTTTTGTAACAACAATACCTAAAGTAGTTAAGTTATATGTAATATAAACCAATCAATAAAAGTAAATAAAAATAATGTTAATAATTTTAATAATAATCAATTCTTCATTTTGATTTATTCTAAATTACTTTCCAAAAAGTCCCCTCCTTAAGTTTTTAGAAATGGTTTCAAATCGTTACCCCAAGAGGTTATAAATTCTCCTTTTAAAATTAAAGCACCTTGTGCATATAGAGTTGGTTCTAAGGAAATAATAAATTTTGAATAATTCATAACTAAAAAAAAATAAATGAATACCCTTTTATGGTTGTTGATTCTAGTTTAAAAGTGAAATTTTAAATTATTCTTAAATATCTTTATATCTTTTATATCTAGTTTCAATATTTTAAACAGTTTTAACATTCCATAATCGGATTGATTTATCATCGCTACCAGAAGCTAAAGCAGTTCCATCCGGTGAAAAGCAAATAGATTAGACAAAAGAATTATGACCATCTAATTTGGCTTTCTATTATCTAGTCATAATATCCCAAAATCGAATTGATTTATCACCACTACCAGATGCTAAAGTAGATCCATCTGGTGAAAAGCAAACAGAATAGACATGATGAGTATGACCAAACAATTTAGCTTTTTAGTTTGTCTTAACATTCCATAATAGGATTGACTAATCATAACTACCAGATGCAAAAATTATTCTATCTGGTGAAAAACTTACAGATGAGACAAAATCACTATGACCATCTAATTTTGCTTTTTCTTATCCTATTTTAACATCCCAAAATCTGATTGCTTCCAGAGGCTAAAGTAGTTCCACATGGTGAGTAGCATACTGATCGGATATAATCACTATGACCAATTAATTTGGCTTGTTCTTGGCCTGTTTTAACATCCCATAATCTGATTGAGT